TTTTTCCTTTCACTCAACTTTCTGTTAACATGCTTGGATACAGCACTCTGTGAACAGCCAGCTTCTTTGGCAATGAATGTTTGTTGAATGGTTGAAGGGTGTCAGTGATTGTCTTCTGGACAACTGTCAGATCAGCAGTCTTCCCCATGATTGTGTAGCCTAGTGAACCAAACTGAGAGACCATTTTGAAGGCTCAGGAAACCTTTGCAGGTGTTTTGAGTTGATTAGCTGATTGGCATGTCACCATATTTTAATTTGTTGAGATAGTGAATTGGTGGGTTTTTGTTAAATGTGAGCCAAAATCATCACAATTAAAAGAACCAAAGACTTAAACTACTTCAGTCTGTGTGCATTGAATTTATTTAATACACGAGTTTCACAATTTGAGTTGAATTACTGAAATAAATGAACTTTTCCACGACATTCTAATTTATTGAGATGCACCTGTACACGCTCGATTATTGAACTGTTAATGTTCCAGACAGCTCAGATATAATATAATAAGTAAAATATTAATCTACTATATATAATAATAGCCTATATATATATACAGTATGTATATATATATATATATATATATATATTATGAAGAGTTAATTTGCAAAAACAGATAACTCCGGTTTTATATATATATATATATACACACACATACATACATACATACATACATACATACATACATATATTAGTAGATTAATATTAAATGTATAGATTAATATTATACTATATAGTAGGCCTATACAATATCTGTAGAGACGTTATTTCCTGGTCCAATACATGGCTGGTTTTGTCAGCATTTTTTTAGTTTATCCCTATTTTTTCCAGCCATTGAAGCATATTTCCTACATCTTTTATTCGTTTTTTGTTCATTTAATTTAGATGTGTATTTTTATTTTTTGTTTTTGATTTCTGCTCTTTTTAATTATTTCAATTATAAATTAATTTAAAAAACGAGTAATAAAGTGTACAATGAAGTTCAATCAAAAGCTTTATAATCACATTGCACTTGAATAAAATTAAAGGTGTAATCTGCCGATTGTCCTGCAGGTGACCTCATAATTCAGTTTTTTTAGATGCAGATTAGCAGCAGGCCAGATTAGTGCAAAACAGTAAAGACTGGCTGCTGCACAATGTTGCTGTAATTGATCTAAACTCAAATAATGTGAAGGTGTTGATCAGTTAGTGACAAAATATACTTACAAAGCCAAAGATGATGTGAAATATGGCTCTGAAAAGAGCCTTTGGGGTGGTGTTCAGCAGCTGTTGAGACACAAGCAGAAGGGATACAAATTTAAATAAAAAACCATGGCAGAACGTGTGAGAGATTGCACAAATAAAAAATGTATTCAGTTTTTTTTAATTGATCATTACTGACCAACTTAAACACGACAAATCAGAGATGCAGGATGCTAGATTGTTGTAAAGTAGCTATTCCTTTAATGTTTTTCTTAAGACAGTGAAGGCTGGATGATGCACAAAGACAAACATGCAAAAAAATAAGAAATCAGGAAGGGGGCCAACAGTTTTTCACACCACTGTCAGTTTTTTTAGATGCAGATTAGCAGCAGGCCAGATTAGTGCAAAACAGTAAAGACTGGCTGCTGCACAATGTTGCTGTAATTGATCTAAACTCAAATAATGTGAAGGTGTTGATCAGTTAGTGACAAAATATACTTACAAAGCCAAAGATGATGTGAAATATGGCTCTGAAAAGAGCCTTTGGGGTGGTGTTCAGCAGCTGTTGAGACACAAGCAGAAGGGATACAAATTTAAATAAAAAACCATGGCAGAACGTGTGAGAGATTGCACAAATAAAAAATTTATTCAGTTTTTTTTTATTGATCATTACTGACCAACTTAAACACGACAAATCAGAGATGCAGGATGCTAGATTGTTGTGAAGTAGCTATTCCTTAAATGTTTTTCTTAAGACAGTGAAGGCTGGATGCTGCACAAACTCAAATAATATGGTACTGTTTCAGTCAGTTAGTCACAAAATATACTTACAAAGCCAAAGACGATGTGAAATATGGCTCTAAAAAGAGCATTTGGGATGGTGTTCAGCGGCTGTTGAGACAAGCAGAGGGGAGAAAAAGAGAAAAAAAACATGGCAGAACGTGTGAGAGATTGCACAAATAAAAATGTATTCAGTTTTTTTTATTGATCATTATTGACTAACTTAAACACAACAAATCAGAGATGCAGGATGCTAGATTGTTGTGAAGTAGCTATTCCTTAAATGTTTTTCTTAAGACAGTGAAGGCTGGATGATGCACAAAGTCAAATAATATGGTACTCTTTCAGTCAGTTAGTCACAAAATATACTTACAAAGCCAAAGACGATGTGAAATATGGCTCTAAAAAGAGCATTTGGGATGGAGTTCAGCGGCTGTTGAGACAAGCAGAGGGGAGAAAAAGAGAAAAAAAACCATGGCAGAACGTGTGAGAGATTGCACAAATAAAAATGTATTCAGTTTTTTTTATTGATCATTATTGACTAACTTAAACACAACAAATCAGAGATGCAGGATGCTAGACTGTTGTGAAGTAGCTATTCCTTTAATGTTTTTCTTAAGACAGTGAAGGCTGGATGCTGCACAAACTCAAATAATATGGTACTGTTTCAGTCAGTTAGTCACAAAATATACTTACACAGCCAAAGATGATGTGAAATATGGCTCTAAAAAGAGCATTTGGGATGGTGTTCAGCGGCTGTTGAGACAAGCAGAGGGGAGAAAAAGAGAAAAAAAAACATGGCAGAACGTGAGAGATTGCACAAATAAAAATTTATTCAGTTTTTTTTATTGATCATTATTGACTAACTTAAACACGACAAATCAGAGATGCAGGATGCTAGACTGTTGTGAAGTAGCTATTCCTTTAATGTTTTTCTTAAGACAGTGAAGGCTGGATGCTGCACAAACTCAAATAATATGGTACTGTTTCAGTCAGTTAGTCACAAAATATACTTACAAAGCCAAAGACGATGGGTATGTGGCTCTGAAAAGAGCCCTTGGGGTGGTATTCACCAGCTGGAAAAAAAACATGATTGTGAAATATTGCAAATGTCTTTATGAATTAAAAATGCTATTCAGTTTTTATTGATCATTAAGAGGTGCTAGACTGATCACTTACAAAAACCAGACGGCAGACAACACTGATAAAAGAAGTTATTTTCATGGTATAAATTAAAAAGGCTCTGATTAATGAATATGTAGCCTACTATAACATCTGAAAAAGCACCGATGAGATAAGAATGCACAGAGAATAGATTTTATTACACTAAACCCCTATCAACTATTAAGTAACAGAAACATGTGACTGTATTATTCAAAGTTGAGATTATTATTTTTATTATTATTATTCTTTTAAAATGACTAGTCTTTCGGCGCACGAGCTTAAGGGACGCTCAAGGGTTTGGTTAGGTACAAGTAGAAATGGTGGTGGGAGTTTCCGGTTAGAGAAACGGGAGAAAGAGAGCAGGTCCCAGTTGAAGGATTTTATTTGAATTATCCTTGCATGTTTGAATTGTTACAGGCACTTGCCCATAAGGGGTGCAGGTGGGCGTGTGTGGTCTACAATGAACAGAGAAAGCAGAATACAATATAAAATTTGTAATATAAACAATAATATGGCTAGCATAAAAAATTAAACATTACACACAGCAGCAGTGACAGTAAATAACAGTATCAAATATCAGGTAATAAAGGCATTCAAGTTGCATTTAAATAGCTGCATTATTTTGGCAAAGTGTTTATCATTTAAATATGTACTGTAAACAGGTGTACAATTTTAGCTTATGAATCTAAATTATGCAGTGGAACAGTTAAGCAGTATTGAACAAGTGTCAACATTTGACTTAGCATAGACTTAGTCAGCATGCAACTCACGCAAATTATACAATCTTTTCAAGTCATTATTTGAACTAGTAAAGTTTACGGGTGACAATACAGAATGAAAATATATTTCAGTTTGACCAGCATAGAATATCAAACGGATAACTTACTTTTTAATCAATCACTCACAGAAGCAACAAACATGCAGTAGTCCATTTTCTTGCACAATGAACAAATCAATCTCTCCACCCATACATATAGACTGCCTCCTGATACTTGTCCGGGCATGTCTTGACTTGTTCAGCCTTTTCCAAGCATTAAAAAGGTTATAGACATAAAGATACCTCTGGGTGGCATCGTTGGGCTTTCATACATAGCCGCCCCCAAATGTCACTCTGGACATTTGAACATGGTAGTAAACCCTATTTAAGTGGCGGGACTAGAGCTGTCATCATCCTCAAATTTGGGAAGTGGGATTAGGCGAGCCACCGGTCTGACATAAATTCGGTCCTCAACCTGAACTGCAACTGTTCTTATCCGTCCGTTGGGTCCAGGGAAGGTGCGGGTCACCTTGCCCACTAGCCAGAGGGCTCGTGGAAGTTGAGGGTCCATGATGAGAACTACCTGGTCGACCCTGAGCTGGTCGTTGTCCTTTTGCCACTTCTGTCTTTTCTGGAGACTTGGCAGGTAGAGATGAATAAATCTGGCTCAGAACTGGTCTGTAAGTACCTGACTATTTGCGCTTTTCCACTGCGTGGTACGACTCGGCTCGGTACAGCTCAGTACGGCACGGCACGGCTCGGTTTGGCTCGGCTTGCGTTTCCACTGCAGTTCAGTACCACTTTAGAGTGGTACTGGGCGGGATTATTCACATGTCGTTATAGTTGCGCCGCCTCTATTGCCGCGACTCCTAAAAAACTTTTTCATTCCGTGTCGCCGCATCATGTTCTTGCTGGATCCACTCCTCTGCTATCAATGAGAGGAACGTCTGTACTTCCTCAACAGGGGGAACAACCACTTTTTGGTTGTTAAAAAAAGGTGCGCTGGTTCAAAACATTTGCGTTCGATGCTTCGCTGGCTGTGCTGATTTAAATCTAGCGGTTCTTTTGTGTTTGTGTCACAAGTTCAGTGACGCAGGTAGTGACGGTTCTCTTCGGCCAATTCGTGATCAGCAGAGTTTACACGTCTATGTTTGGTAACGGTAGGCATCGGTGTCCAGACTCTCAAGTAGATCCAGATGGAGGCATCGGGTGGTCATACATTTGAAGACTATTCCCCATCTCTTTTCAGTTTGTCGTCCTATTTTTACTGTGAATGGTCCAAAACAGTCCATTCCAGAATAGAAGGGGGGCTTGTAAACAGTGTTCGAACTATACTGTGAACTTTGGGGGAGCTCACTTGTTTTTTGTTTTTTATAACAGGGGGGTGTGGGGGCTGGGGGTTTGTGCGCTTGCGCGTGCCTCAAGAAAGGGCTTGCAATGACTTACAAAGATACATAACAGCTACAAGTGCATGCACTACTTGCTTTATACAAGCACTATATAGGATAAGTCACTATACAGGATTTACCCTATTATACTTTATCGACACGAATTGATAGGTGAAACAACAAACAGCCACCCACAAATAGTCAATAAACAAAGCATCAGGCTGTCTTTGAGTTCACATGAACAACGGTTAAAGGTACTCGTCGTCAGGCTACATAATTACTCCGTTCAATTAGGCCTAAAACATCGAGAGTCACGCAGACCTATAACAACCCAGCCACAACACATAATTGTGAATAACATGCCTTACCTTAACACAGAATCGACCACAGAGTCCAGCGTTTATATTTTTTCTACGAATCTTTGAGTTAACGTACTAAACTTGAGTGGAATTTGCACCACAGTGCCCCCACACCTTGATGCTCATGACAAGAGTAGCATGTATAGTTATCTTTATTCAAGTGAATTAGGTTTAAATCGCCATCATGCATGAATTAATATTTTTGCAATTTTACACATAATAATCCACGATGATCACATTACACAAAACTGAAATTGCACGTCAAAATAACACATTGTCAATATTTTTTGAGACCCCCAAAATTTCACAAATCACATTTTCAGGGGAGCCCATGTCTTATTAAAGGGAGCCGAGCTCCCCCTAGCTCCTTCGTAGTTTGCACCCTGCTTGTAAAGCCTAAGACGAGCTGGTGGGAGATCTGCCATCATAGGGATCTTGGGTTGGGCCCGCCACTTTTGACAATCAATACATGCAAGTTGATGGGTTTTGATGGCTGCTCTGCCTCTCAAAATCCAATAGTGACATCTGAGCTCTGCAAGGACTCGTTCTGGCCCAAGGTGAAGGAGACTGGCATCATATTCCTTAATAAGGAGTTTGGTTATGTGTTGATGGGGGTCGAGAACTATGGGATGTAGAGCATTAAGGTCTATGTGTTGAGCATGACGTAATCTCCCTCCGACCCTAATTAGCCCAGCATCTTCATCATATTCGGGAGACAGGGACACTAACCGGCTATTAGATGGTAAGGGTTGGTTTGATGAGAGAGCCTTGACCTCCTCTGGAAATGAATTAATTTGGGCTTGTTGAAGGAGGAGCCGCTCTGCTTCAAAATAATGCTCGGCTTCATCTGTCTGGGTGGAAGGATGAGCCGCCCCGTGTAGGCACGCCACTGTGGCCTTTACCAAGTCCTTCCATGTGTTATACTGCATTGCGTCTGGGAGTTGGACATCAAGTCTAGTACATACGTGCAGGCAGAGTGCGGATTTCTTCAATTCAGTATCCGGTTCAGGGTCAGCAGCCGGCATGGTTGGCCAGGAGGCTTCTGATTGATGCAAGAAGTCTGGTCCATTAGCCCAGCGACATGATTTTGTCAACACCTTTAAGGATTTTCCACGGGTTATGTCATCTGCTGCATTATTTCCTAAATCCACATACCTCCAGGAATTAATGTCTGTGAGGGACTGAATTTCAGGAACTCGAGTTCCTACGAAGACCTTATACCTGCAGGAGTCAGCCAGTGAAGGATGAATCTGACCAGAGGATGACTTGCCTGATGGTGACTGTGAGCTCCCTTTGGAGGACTTTGGCCATCTGTGCTCCAGTAAGTGCTGCACTCAGTTCAAGTCGTGGCATGAACATTTGCTTCCTGGGTGCTTCACGTGAACGAGCCAACATGAATAAAATGTGTATATGGCCATTCTTGTCTTCTGTGCGTAGATATTATACTGAGCCATATGCTCTTTCAGATGCATTACAGAAGATGTGCAGGTCTCTGGTGAACGTTTCCTCATGTACTTGAAATGGAGTGTAGCATCTGGGAATCTCTAGCTGTTCCAAATTGGGCAATTCCTGTACCCAAGTTTGCCATCTGTTTTGTAGGCTGGCAGACTCAATGAGGTCATCCCATCCCAGGTGAAATTTCCACAGGTCCTGAACAAGTATCTTGGCCTGGGTGGTGAATGGAATTAGGTACCCGAGAGGGTCATACTGTGATGCTAATACCTTGTAGATATTTCTCAAAGTTGGCTTGAGACATTCTACTTGGCGAGGTCTGTATCCTAAGGAATCACGGAGACAGTTCCATCGCAATCCAAGTGTGCCCTCCAGAAGATCTGGGCTCGTTTGGGATAACCATAGCTCACTGCTTTGTGACCTTGCTTCTGTCG